TCCAGCGATCTTGCTCTATTCACAGGCTGGTACTCTAACAACAGCATCCTATAGGCTTCCATACCGTTCTCTTCTGTCGTATGGCGAATCACACGATTTGGTGTAAGACGCTAAAATGCTGTACAACTGCCTGCTCTGCGTTTTGGCCTCATCAGTCATATCCTTCATGTCCAGCACTTCATTCTTCCTTAGGTCGTTCTCCACAAGGTCCATGGTTTCCACAAGGTCTTCATCCATAGCGCCAAGCCAGACTCGAAGTCGCTGCTTGAACTCCATTAAACCGTTCTTTTCTTCTTGCCAAGTTCCTGGAGAAAATACTTCTGGAGGCTTGATGAGTTTGTGAAGCTCAACGTCACCTGGCTTTCTTCCTTTCACTGCTCTCTCTAGGCTGCTTCCGATCTCCTCGAAAGTTGTCACTGCTGTTTCCTGTGCTTGAAGCAAAGTTTGCTGTGACTCTGCACTCTGCTGCTGAATTGCCTGCAGTGTGTTGCTGAAGCTTGCTGTTATGCTCTGCTCTCGGGCTGTGCCTGCTGCTGCAGTGCTCCTCAACTCTTCTGCTAAGGTTTGTATTCCTTGAAGCGTTTGCTGATTGATTTCTGCAAGTCTCTGTAGTGCATCTTCCATTCCTTTGGCTGCTTCCAAGTTGCTGTACACAAGCACAACAAGAAAGATTGTCTTGCGCTGTCTCCTCACTTCTACTCTTCTTCTCCTGCTTTTCCTCTTGGGTTCTTTCGCTCTCTTCGTTCTTTTCTGTACTGCTGTAAAGAGCAATCGTGAGAAGTACGATAGGATGATCCAAGTAATCAGTTCCTGCGAAAACTATGAGACGAATTCCTTCAAACACTAAGCTGTGCGCGACGTCGTGAAACTTCTTTTCTAGTTGTTCGAACTGTTCCTTGAAAGGGATCTTTTCTACATTGTGAAACTTTCCTTCTACTAGGTACCTAGGAGCGTAGCCGGACTCAAGGCTCTCATTTTCTTCACTCATGTACATGTCGATGCTCCTAATCGTGTAGGAATTCATGAAGTCCTGGCTCACGGAGTACTTGTCGTAGTTCTTCTGAGAATGCGTATTGGGCTTTCCTGGAGGCTCGTCCACACAACCATCAACTCACTCTCGTCAATCTCGGCAATCACCGTTCTCCCACGTCTCTCTTCCTTGGAGGATCTGCCATCTCCAAGGGCAAGTTCATCCTTGGTTCTTCCGGGTCCAAGGGCCTGCCACGGACGCCATATCTTCCTGGAGCCAAGCTCATCCCGCACAAAGTGGCGAGGCTCCCCAGGGCAAAACCAACTAGCAGCACCATGCCTGCTGCCATTCCGTAGCACCTCATGTTCCTTTTCTTCACTTCCTGAATCTTGTATCGTTCAGGGAAGCAATCGAAGCAAGGGGCGAAGTCCCTCACTGTTCCACCAGCAACCGTCTGGTTCCTGATGTGACCACAATCTCGTTTGTGGTACCTTCTTCCTTCTCTTGTTGCTATCCGGACTGTGGGGAGGTACTCGAAGATCTCTCGGACTTCGATATTCTTTTCCTGCTTCCACATTTGTCTCATCCCACAGACGAGAAAAGCCATCATGGCTATGAGGACGATTCCTACTGCTGCTAGGTGTAGCATCATCGCTGCCTCTGGTTCCTGGAACAGCAGCTCCGCTACCATGTCAAAGATAGGGTCAATCTAAAGCTAACTGAAAAGCTGGGACACTCCGCACTTTTCCTGGGTTCGCTGCGGTGTGTGTCCTTGCTCGAGCCTATCGTCGACAAGACGTTCTGAGGCTCTGGTGTGCATTTCACATGCACCTGGTGCACAGCTTCCTGTACTGCGTAGATGTTTAACAGCCTTGCATTTAAGTAAACAACACAAGGTTCTTCAAGATCGATCTGTCTCCGAATCTTAGCCATCGACCCACCGAAGACCTTACAATTAAGTAAACAACCAAAGTTTTCTCAAGATCTGTCAGCGAAGCGCAAACTGGTGGCAACAAATCGTACTTCTTTCCGGCTTTGACAATTACCACAAACCTAGAGAATGTTGCTGGACCCTGCTGGCACAGCTCCGAAACTTTTGGAGTCGAGCTCGCCAGGCGTAGACGGTGCCTGGCCGACATCACTGCATGCTGCAGGTGTTCTTTTCGACTAACCCCTCTAGCTTTTGACTAACTAATCCTGACGGGAAGACGAAAGTCAGACGAATTTAGGACACGGTTTGGAAAACTAAGAGGAAAGTAAGGCAAAATGAAGGCATGGTTTTGGAAAGTAAGACGAAAGTAAGACGAAACTAAAACAAGGATTTGAAACTAAGAAGAAAGTAAGACGACCTTAAGGCATGGTTTTTGGAAAGTAAGACGAAAATAAGACGAAATTAGGACACGGTTTTGGAAACTAAGACGAAAGTAAGACGAAATTCAGACACGGTCTTGACAAGCAAGACGGAAGTAAGTCGAAATTAGGGCATGGTTTTGGAAAGTAAGACGAAAGTAAGACGAAATTACGACATGGTTTCCAAAACTAAGAAGAAAGTAAAACGAGATTAAGGAATGGGTTTGCAAAGTGGAATGAAAGAAAGACGAACTTAAGACACCCCAGTCTCATCTTGCCATTCCTCACACAGATACCGACCCTCCGAAGGCCTTGTACTTAAGTAAACAACACAAGGTTCTTCAAGATCGATCTATATCCGAATCTTAACCATCGACCCACCGAAGACCTTACAATCAAGTAAACAACCAAAGTTTTCTCAAGATCTGTCAGCGAAGCGCAAACTGGTGGCAACAAATCGTACTTCTTTCCGGCTGTGACAACTACCACAAACCCAGAGAATGGTCAGGACCTAAGTGCTAACACTACATCCAAAGGCCAGTGCCCTCAAAATTCACGTTCTTCACCAGAGCCTTCGACCTCAGATAGTATGGTTTCACGCTTGGCCCGCCCGCTGGTGGCCCTGTTGGCCAGCCCCGCTGGGCGAAAGGGAAAACCGCTTGCAATGCTTTATTAAAATGTTTCATGAAAAGGCAACTTTCACGTAGAATCTTTACTTCAGGGATTCTGAGCGTAGCTTCACGGCTGGCGGGCCCCGCTGTGCGAAAAGAGACCAACCACAGCGGGATACAGCCGAAGTCCAGATTCCATGATGGCAGAGCTGACGGCCTGCTTCGCACCTTTTTGGCGCGAACAACTGCTTCTGCTCAGGGAAGTCCCGACGGTTTCACCGAACACTCAGGTCACGAGCCCTCAGGCCTGGCAGGCATCCATCCACATACTGCTGCTGTTGCGCGCATACCGAACCTCCGCCACGGCGGTTACCTCAAGAAGACCGGCCTAGATTGGGAGATGAGTTAGGATTTAGCGATGTTTGTGCGAACCTCATATTGAACAAGTTCATGTGGGCCACTGCCCTTCCTGCTGCACTGCCCTGACACGCCCGACGAATCTAAACTACAACCCAATTGCTGCGATGCTCCTCAGAACCCTAATCCATGAACTCGAGCCCAGGCTGCGCCTCGTTTAGCTCTGCACATTTGCAGAGATGTCATGGTCCGCATCCTTTGCATCGATGGCTTCAGAGCCTGACATGGGCGGCCAGAAAGGGTTTCGGGGTTCACAGGATTTACACCTCAAACTCTAAACCCCCCCTCATGACACTGTCCATGTCATGAGGTTTGCTACGGAGCATGTACTTTGTGAACGTCAAGGAGGACTCTAAGTCCTAGTCCTCTACTCAAAGAGCACATATTCAGGGTGACGGAAGTATGCCAGCTCCGGCACATTCTAGACGCAGTCAAATCATTGAGAACTCCTTTTCAAAGTTAGAGATGGAAATTAGCAGGATATCTGGGACCCCTCAAGGCCCTATTAGGGTGGAGCGTCTTGGCTTGCGGATCCAGGATCCCAAAACCGAACTGAGCAACCCCGCCCAAATCCCCCAAACCCCCTTGCTTTAGAGAGCCAGATTCTAAGGCACCGTGCGGTGACCCTCTCTCGGAGAACTGACCCAGCCACTGCAACTCTCAACTCCCAACCTCCTGACATGCCGGAGCACTCTGAACCCTAAACCCTCGCCTAAAAAGCCCCAAACGCCCAAATGAGCCCAAATGAGCCCAAATGAGCCTACAGCCTGAAAAGCCCGACAAAGCCCCACAAACCCTAAACGAGCTAGGGAGTGGGCCAGGTGTTGTGCTCTTGCCCTTTAGGGTTTAGGGTTTGGGGTTTAGGCCTCGAGCTTTCGGGTTCCTAGGGTTCAAAGATTGCTGAGCTCCTCTACAAGGACTCTACAGCCACAATGCATGCTTGATATGCTTGTCATGGAAAGGCGCAAAGGCGAACTAAAGGTTTAGCTGCGCGAGAATGTGGTGCTTGCTGGGCTGTGGCTTGCTTCCACCCAAAGTGATATGGGTAGTTTTTCCAAATAAGAGTCCCTTTGCGGGTCCTTATTCCCCTTTCGTGGGTCTTGGGGCTGGTAATTAAACCCCACGCTAAACTGGAAACCCTCAGCCCGTCCTATACAAAACCTCCCAGGCCGAGACCGCGGCCTCGCTTGAACCATGCAGCGAGGTGCGCCGCGTAAGAAGCAAGGCCGTCTCGGTTGCAAGAGGCGCACGCGGGGCTCCGCAAGGTAAGCCGTGCATGAAAAACACTCGAAAGATCAAATGAACAAAAAAACACGTTGCACATCACATTGGATGACTGCCTGAGATGGCTACCCTAAGGATCCTCGTCAGGAACTCCGCTGCTTCACACTGCTTGCCAACACTCACAGCACTTTCGATGGCAACTGGTCAGGAGACCTTTGCTTTTCCGCACTTCCGCTGACGCTCAGTGACGCTCGATGTCGGACGGGGCCCAGACTCCATCCGGCCCCACAGCTGCTGTACAACCTTGGACCTTGCTGTTAGATCCGTCTGACATCTTGAGAAACATGAAAGGAAACATTCTGGCGCTTTGACAAACAGGCTGCACCTTTGCAATGCGCAAAGGCCTGTGTGAAATCACAGCGCTACACTCACTTTCCCAGTGCTTGGAGAAGCTGCTTCAGTTCACCAAGACCATTCTGCGCCTGCAACTTGTCCCGCAGCTCCTTGAGGTCTTGACGCTCGCCTGCAGCAAGAACTAAGAGCACCGGATGCCGCACAGACACAGATGGGAAGCGTTCTTGGCACAGTTTGAATCAACAACTGAAGCCAAAAACATTAGGCCGCGGACCCGTGTCCACGAAATCTTTCCGCATGACCTCCCAACCTTCCATCAAACCTGCCCCGGGATGCCGTTGCGATGAATCTTCGTAGTGCCACCACACCTTGGGCGTGCCATCATCAGGCATGATGCCGATCAATGTGACCCTGGCATCGGCTTTCAATGGCGTCTGCAACACGGTACCAGGGATGAATCCGGTGTACTTCGAGACAAACTCCGGCCTCACGTCGAATCTGGCTTTCGACGCTCGAACTAAGCCTTTGGGAAACTCAAAGTCACATTGCAAGTCGCCCAAGTCCAAATTATCGAGATCGGCAAGGGCAGGACCAAATTCATCCTGTTGAGGTTCGACAGGGCGGGTGCCCACTTTGTCGAACCGGCGAAGGTGCTTGTGGAGACTTGGGTTCACCCCAGCCCCCGGAGCACCTTCGACGTGAAACCACAGTTCAGCTATAGCCCCAGGTATGCGCCTGTGTGACGTCTGGAACAGGCTTTCTCGAGCAAAAGCTGCCATGGGATCCTTCCCAACACCAAGGCAGGTCATTGTTTCACCATCGACCCTGTCCTTCAGCACATCGCCTGACTTGTAGGGCAACTTGAACTTAGCGATCACAGCATCCCCAACATCAAGCTTGATCGGCTTGCCGGTTTTCGACAGGTACTGCAAGGTAGGGCGGAGGTTTTTGCCAACCCACTCGCGGTCATCATGCTCGATCTCCCCATCAGACGCTGCCCCGACATCATCATCCTCAGGCCGCACCTGTTGAACATCCCTGTGGCCAACTACCTTCAGCGTGGCCAGCTCTTCATCTTCGTAAACACCGCAACCCTCTTTTCCTTCAACATGGAACCACATCTGAATTTTCTTTTCACCGGGATCGTACTTCAATCCAATGCATGTGCTGGATTGGCCTTTGGGTGTCCTGACAACATCGCCATGCTTGATCGGGGCGACCTTCAAGCATGTTTCATCCCGAATGTCAAACTTTGCACAATGCGCATGTTGTGTCCCGCAGAGATAGCTGAAAGTGCATCGCAATTGGTCTGGCTGCAGCTCCCCGGCCACGGCCCGTCTGTCATCGTGACCGATGACCAAGTCAGCCCTCTGGCCAGCCGCAGTACCAAATCGGTAATTCTTGCTATAGCCAGACACCTGCCACTCGACGCGCACCCATCCAGGCTGCGATGGGGGATTGCCTTCCGTTCTGCCCTGGGCGGTGCGCCATCCCACAACTGAACCTTGACCTCCTGCATCTTCTTCTGCGTACGGATCGTCGTCGGATTGATCCTTATTGTTCGAGCCATGTCATCTCAGCTAAAAATTTGTTTGTCCCGCACTGGCAGCTGCATTCCAAGCGTCATAGCACCAAGCTGGTCCACGACTTACAAGCATGCCCAGCTTCACAGTCTCCTCGGTAAGAATCTCACCCTGCAAACGGTTCTGCCGCCATCTTTTGAACGCCTGCTTGTGCCGGTGCTTCTGCAACCGGTCAGTCATGTTCTGCCCACGAAGCACCTGCCAAGCAAGCAGCACTACACGAGCGGGGGATGACAGGGAACAGTGAGGCAAGCATGCAGCGGACGTAGTCTGCAGAAAAGAGAGGGGCAGAGGCAAAAGAAAACCAACTGTTCAACAGTCAGCGTTCACGAGGCCTCGCCCTCTGTGCATCCATTGAAGACGTGTGTTGGAACGTCAAGATCCCTCAGCTCCCTCTTCCAAGCTTCGTCATGTGGAAACGCAGATGCTCCTCTGGCAAGCTGTGCCAAAACCGCTCGGTCGCTGGGGTTGAGGCCTAAGTCTGCCAAATCTTCATCAGTCAGCTCCCTGACTTGATCCACAGTCTCGTAGCCTTCCTGCACGAGACACTCGAGGTGCCTGTCCAAACCACCTGTGGCAAGGAGGTCTGCCAATTCCTGCACTCGTTGTCCAGTTTGGCGGGCCTCTTGCTTTAACTCATCGTCTGCACCCTCCAAATCTGTGAGGGTGGGAATGGCCGTCGTGACTGCGCCTGCTCCTGGCTCATCGTCATAGGAGTCCAGCACAAAGAAGATGAACTGCACCAGCACACACCCATTCAGCACCAGAAGGGCAAGGCAGTAACGCTCTGGCACCGGGAAAGTTGTCTTCCAAACGGCCCAGCCAGCAAGGACTGCCATGAGCGTGGATCGAAGACATGGACCAGCAAGCATCAGTGTCCACCAACAACCACCCAATGCGGGTATGCCGCTGTCAAGTTGCAGGAGTGTCACTGGATGAATGCTTGCGAAGACCACGCAGACGACAGCCACATCAAGCCTCAGCAACAGGTGCCACAGCCGGTTCCGCAATGTTCTCACCAGTGCTATGGCAGATGTCACGCATATGAGGGAGGAGAGCGCAAGAACAATGTAAGCGATAGTTTGCACGTCCACCCCACCAATCGGGATTGGTCCAGCGCGCTGAAGGAACACAAGGTTGCACCCTGTGGCTGCAGCCTCGTCAAGGCTGGGAGTGTGAGGCATGTGAATGAGCGCAAGGCTGATGTAAACATGCACACACGCCTGCATCAGGAACATCAGGGCATTGTTTGCGCTCGGGAACGTTTCAACGCAACGGCGTTGACGTTGCGCCGCTATCTGCAAGGCAGCGTCGCTCACAGCGGTGCCAATTGCAATGACCTAATTCTTCGAGGTTTCGTTCACGCTACCGATGCTACCGAAGTATTTGGCATTCCATAACTCATGCATCGGTTGCCTAAGGGCAGCACCAGGCAGTTCATCAGCATCTTGAAGATGACCATCGACAGAGTTACGCCAAGGGACATCGCAACGGGCCACGCTACAGGCCAGCTGTTGATCAAGCAAACATAAACAGAGTAGGCCTGCACAGCAGCTTGAGGGGCATCTTCGCAGCACTGTGCGACCAAACCCAGTTCCTTGAACTTTCTTACGACCACTTGAATTTCATGTGCCTCTTCGGGGCGCGTGGCATCTTCCTGCGTGCGCAGGAACCCACACATGATCTCCGGATTGCTGCAGGCCAAGATGCGGCACAGCTGCCATTGCAAGGGTGCCTTTTTGCGCAAGCGCCTGAAAAGATCTCGATGCTCCCGCCCAGTCGTCCGGCAAATGATGATCACATTCACGAAGCATGAGCCAAGTAGAAGAGCAGCACCAATGTAGCCCAACATGTGTAACTTTGAATGATTTGTATGGCAGTTGGCTGTTGAAGCCCAGATGTCTGATATGAAATCGTAGAGGCAGAAGGCCTGAGCTTCGAGGTCCCATCAACCCTCTCAGCCCTAAACTTTGAGACTTCAAGCACTGATGCAACTGAGGATTTCACGCATATTGCGTACTCTTTCAGCAATCCCCATTTCGAAATTGGCTTCACCATGCTGCCATATTCCTCATCCAACTGCACATAGGCAACGCGAGCCATTGGAAAGTAAGATGCTCACTGCGCTGTCTAGGCCCCTAGGCTCAACTCAGATTTGAACAGCTTCAAGCAATCAGCACGAAACAGATCCAACACGCTGCACCACCTGTGTAGATGCAAGCCGGGGAAGCAAAACAACTGAAGCACTGCTCTCAGAGCCGGGCGAGTGCGGTCCAGGCCTGTGCTTCGTCGGTTTTTTTGAGCTTTTTCTTTGTTTAAGCCCTGGAAAAGAATCCGGCTTCCCAACAGGGTTCCTAACAGGGCTTCTCAAGGGACCTCCCCTCCGAACGCCTCTCATTAGCTGTGTTTAGAAGTTTACGTGTCTAGGGGTTTCGGACTTGGCGCTTAGCTTGGGGCTAGCACTTCTCATCGCGAACGACAACCCTCTCAGTTTCTGCGTTCCTGTGATGCTCTCGCCTAGACTCCCACACCCACTCCCCACCCACCCCCGCCCACCACCAGCGGTGTCCCAGCTGCACCGCTCTGATCTAAATCCCTTACCTTTCGAGACTCCTGCACTTCCTATGACTTATTGCCTTCATTTACATTCGCCTTGCTGACCCTGCCGGATCTCAGAAAGATTTGGTTTCGTGAACTCAACGATTATTGATTATGGGTCCGCCAATGGATGGTTGAGGCAACTATCTGGGGACCTGGAGGTTCGAACAAAATCACTCGAACTTTCTCACCCATAACCTCTCGCTGTTGAGGAAACGCCTACGACTCGACCCTTCGAGCCCGCATCGTCGCACAGCTGGCAAGTCCGAACTCACAGTACTCGTCGCGACGCTGACAAAGTACAGGTGAACCGCGGCAAAAACGTGACACTGGCGAAGCTTAACCAAAACATTTCAAAGCCTTGCCACAACAAGACCAGAGGCACCATCAGCAACCGTCGAATCTGCGCCAGCAGCCCTCAGCTGCTCCAACGGGTCGAAAGTTCCGTCTCCAGGGAAACTGTCTAATTGTTCTGAGAGTTTTTCTGAGACTTGAGGGTTTGAGAATAGCACGCATGCCGTCGAGTCTAGCAGTAGGAATGGAATGGATCCTGACCGCGATGACAGCGCCACGAAAGCCCAAGATAACCCAAACATGAATCTTGCCCATGACCCCATGGCTTCTTTCGGCGAGGCTCACGATCGGCAGGCCATCCAGTGTCAACATCGAATTTCCTGCACGCGTTCTGGGGGAAGCCTAGCTGGGGATTCGGATTGGATCAAGGTTGGATCAACGTCTGAAGTTTTGGACCATGTAGGTGTTGTAGGATATAGGAATCCAGGAATTGCAGCAGGCCCAGGGCAGAACCCATATCCGCACACAATCGTACACACGTAGCCAAGGCCTCACCAGTGGATGAGGTCGCACTCTTCTCCTGCCGGTCCGGGGAAGCAGCTGCCCACAGTGTTGCGAGAGATGTTGAGCCAGCGGGTCTCGCTTTGGAATAACAGCTGGCCAAAGCCATGCGACGAAGACCATGGGGCTGGCACTGGTTTGTCCGGTGTCAGGATGTGCACAGCAGCCTTCACAAAGAGCGTGGGCAATCACAGAATCTGAAAAGTTCCGGAAACTCTAACTGACGCACCCGCTCCTTCCGCGGACGTGGCGTGCATGGAGTGTCTACCTGCGCAAGAGTGTTGAGCACACAGTTGGAGCTTCCGCAGGCACAATGAACTGCAAAGAGCCCCTCTTCGCCGAGTCTAGGAGTACATACTGAGAGTAGGGGATAGGATTGGGGGGACCCTTGGGGATATAGACCCTCTGAATAAGGTCCCTGTTTAAGAGAGCCATCCTACTTAGGAGAAACGGGAGCACAAGGCAGGAGCAAACTTAGCGACGCCCCAAACTCACCTGCAAGCAAGGTTGCGCAGTTTTAGGCTACCTGTAAGAGATCACCCGCCTGAGACGCACGCTCGGCACATCCTTCAGAAAGCTCCGCTTGAACACAGGAATGCAGCAAGCGAGAATGACTGCAAAAGGACCTGCAATCTGCACATCACTCTCCCGCATGGCTACACAGCTATACGACTCACGACCTAAGACGCCTGCTGCCCCCGCTGACCCAAACAGTGTGAGGGATCGAAAGCATTAAATTAGGATCCAAAAACATAAACCACACGGATCAAAAAAAAGAAACATAAGGATCAGAATGATTAATAAGGATCTGGGAAGTGAAATTAAAGAAGGATCCTAAACCACAGGGATGAAAAACACAGTAAACTAAGGATCAAAACGTTAAACTACAGGGGAAGGGAGTTTGGTGGGGAGGCCTGTAAAAGTTTGGTAGCTTCTCGAACTTCTCACAAGCTCCACAGAGCTCCAAACTTCCTCACGTCTCTTCAAGCTTCTCTGAGCAAAGAGTAGCAGCTCCACACTCCCTTCAGGCCTCTCTGAACAAAGAGTAGCAGCTCTACACTCCCTTCAAGCTTCTCTGAGCAAAGTGTAGCAGCTCCACACTCTCTTCCGGCTTCTTCGAGCAAAGAATAGCAGCTCCACACTCTCTTCAAGCTTCTCTGAGCAAAGAGTAGCAGCTCCACACTCTTCAGGCTTCTCTGAGCAAAGAGTAGCAGCTCCACACTCCCTTCAAGCTTCTCTGAGCAAAAAATAGCAGCTCCACACTCTCTTCAGGCTTCTCTGAGCAAAGAGTAGCAGTTCCACACTCCACACTCTTCAGGCTTGAGCAAAAAGTAGCAGCTCCACACTCCCTTCAAGCTTCTCTGAGCAAAGAGTAGCAGCTCCACACTCTCTTCAGGCTTCTCTGAGCAAAGACTAGCAGCTCCACACTCCCTTCAAGCTGAGCAAAGAGTAGCAACTCCCCACTCTCTCTTTTCGGGGTCTTTGAGCAAAGAGTGGCACCACACTCTCTTCTTTGATTCAGCTGCTGTTCAAGCTGGTTTGTTGAGTGAAACGCCAACAAGACAACCCGTCCAAACTACTTCTCGAGCCTATTCAACAACGTCAAGCACTTACAAATCTTCTACGTGCGACGTGAAGCTTCTGACTCAAGCCTCATGCTTGCTAAAACAAACATCTCCTCACAAAAGCAAAAACTCTGGCCATGCATACAAAACAAATTAAAGGAAAGCTCTGCTGCTGCACTGCAAACCAAACAACAAGCATTCGCTCCCGAAACTCTTCAAACACTTTGGTAACGTTTGGAAAGGTGCTGATAGCCACTATGGGCATCAACTTTTTCACACCTTCCTGATCCTAGCAGGCAACGGCATCTGGTAAGGGCACTTCACCTCTCACCACGCCTTCCAGATTCGTTCTGGGTCTGCAATGCCTGGGCGGCTTTCCACTCCACAGATCTGTCGGAAAGCCCTGCTTCAGCAGACTCTCTACTTTCCACTTCCAATCTTTCCACCAACAACACCCTGCAGTTTGGAACAAGTTCACTTCACCAACATCTCTTTCGTTGGAGTCTTCGTCAGTCCATCTGCTCCATGCGTGACCCCAGCAATCCGGCCTTTCTGAACACGGTACTGTAAGAAGCTCGCCCTTAACTGTAAATGTCTCACTCTGCGTTACAGGCCCATTTGAGCAATCGACTGTGCGCTACGATTGTCAATATCAACTCAATAGCGAAACTAGAAAACTCATCAGATGCCATGCACAGACTCTGCCAAAATGGCCACTGACAGAATTTCCTGAAGAGCCTCAACAAGTCCCATGAGCTTCGATTCTGGACTCAACGCGGAACTTTTTGTTTCCGAGTAAACGATCGGACCAAACACCCAAACCACACAATCAAACACCCCAACATCGACGGATCAGAAACCTCCATTACCTAAACTGGCCAACGGGTCCGTAAGGACAGTTCCCACACAAGCGCCAGGGCAGCGCAGCACTTAGTACACTTCTTGCAGTTAGGTTGACGTAAATGTGAATGCACAGAGAGTTCCAAAACCTGTTTAGTAGCAGGCAGAGACCTTGCCGCGTCAACGCGCAATGCACTTTCTTGGTTCTCGGGCTCTTACTAACCAAAGAAAGCGCGCAGTAAGCAACCTCAGCAAAGTCGCTGCCCTGACTGCAAGAGTTAGAGTCCGTGCCACGCTTACAGACGCTCCAAGCAGTTGCGCAACGTGTTCCGCGAACTTGAAAAAAGAGCAAATAGAACCCACTGTCCCGAACTACCATATGTAATTAAAGCGGCCTTTGGCAGCCTGCAGCTTGCAGCTGCAGGAACAAGCAGGCTTCTGGGCATGCTGCAGCATGCTCCCGCGCAGCGGCCGATGTTCAGCACACAGACCACAAAGCAAAACTACTATCTCCAACACTTAGCCCAGAGCCGGCCAACAACAGAACTGCTAGGCGGCATGCTTGACCTGCGGAGACGCGCCAGGCAGTTGCGCAGAAAACGTGTTCCGCGGAACTGGAAACTATCTTCTGCAATTTGCAGAGACTGGCCAAGAAGCGGCCCGCAGCTTGCGGCTGCAGGAACAAAGCAGACTGGGCATGCTGCAGCATGGATGCCGCAGAGCCTGCAAGTCGGCTTCCTTGCGACTGGACCTGCGCTTAGCGTGTTTAGTCTTAGGTCCTCAGCAGGTAGGTTTAGCACCCAGACTTCAAAAAAGCAAAGTTCAAGCAAGTCTAACACAGGGCCACACGCCCCGTTTGTTGTCTTCCGAAATGCCAACCGTTTTGGCCGTTCCTAAATGGAAGGATGCGCATACGGCTGGGTGGCAGCGTTGCAGAGAATGCAGTTGGGGCGGCGCCGCAAAACAGTTTCTCAATGGCTGCTATTCATGATGGGCGCATTGGCACATTGCCCCATCGCCTCAAAGAGGTGGCCAAAGGGAAGTAAGCTAAACCATGGGCACAAGCAAGATCGGTAGCCAACATTTAAGGAGAACGCACTTCGACACCAAAATAGCCCGCAGGCTCTCTTGATCGTCAGTGTAATCGCGCTTTTCACACGCCCCGTGGGCTGGTTAAGGCTCCCAATGCGCAGCGTCAACTGCATGTTTGTTCAAGCAGGCAAGGGCACTAGCTCGCATCTCTCC